ATGCTGTCAGCTCTCGTGCTTTTGGTTTGAGTCTCACTTGGTGATATGCGGATTTAAGATCAAGTGATGTAAACAGAGAATGTCCAGATGCTTTTGTAATGAGTTCGGACAGCAGGGGCAAAGGGTATCTGTTAGGGATCGTTAATGCATTCAATGCACGGTAGTCCACACACATCCTCAAGTTCTTGTCCTTTTTAACCACAAATAGTACAGGAGAAACCCAAGATGAAGTGGACGGTTGGATCCACCCCTTGTCCAAGAGGTCCTTGACCGTTTCCTGCATTGTGGTGAACTCATGTGAGCTCAGGCGATAGCACCGTGACTTGGGGGGCATCGCATTAGTGACAAGTGGGATATCCACATCCAACTCTCCTCGAGAGGGAGGCATACAAGTCAAATCCAAAAACACAGGTGCATACTTTGTGCATAAACTGTGTACATCTACTTGGCTAGACTTACATTTGCGCGAAATCGTGCCACTGTTGAAGTCGAAAACGGGTTGGGCCCGTTGCAGCCAATCCATACCGAGCAGGAGATCCACAGAGAGATCTTTCACTGCTGGCAGGCACATGCTGGTGACATGGCCACACCACTCGATCTTGCCAGTGGCGTAACGATCGGTGGTGCTGGTGCTGCCATCCGCGAGAGCAAGCGTAAGCTTAGCTCCGGGACGTGTCTCAGAAAAGTTGCTGAGTTTACACAATGACCTCTCGGCCCCAGTGTCCACAAGCGCTCGCAGCCTCTTGTTACAGAAGAGCACATTAGTGCTAATCAAAGAGGAGTTGCGGGTGCAAGCGTTCACGGACACAACGGTGACCGGCCTGCCTTCCTCGTCAAATTGCATGTCCTCAACGATGCCAATTTGCTTCACGGACTCAGTGAGCTGCGAAACAGACTCAGCTGGATCAACTCGTGGAAGAGGTCGAGGAGGCGGAGGCGGAGGAACGTGCGAGGCATCATGCAGCTCAGCACCGGCTTGTGTCGGGTTGACACGCACCGTGTTGGTGGCCGTTGGCCCATCCAACTGTTTGCCATTCACGTGACGCCGAGCATGGCAATCACTGACGACATGGTTGGTGCGACCGCACCGACTGCACGGTGGCAGTTTGCGAAGCTGATGCTGTTTGGGACGGCGGTTCCTCATGCGAGGCTGGTGCGAGCGCGGCGGTTGTTGTGGTGGAAAGCGCTTGCTGCGCTTGAGGTCGGAAGAGGCCGTGTCGTGGCGGCGCTTGCTGCGCACGATGGAGAAGTACCGGTCCACGAGGATGATGGCGTCGTGCAGAGTCTTGGGCTGCTTGTCCGAGATGAAGAGCTGCAGACGCGTGTCGTGGAACCCGGCGAGGTACGTGCACACCACGTGAAGCTCGGGATTGACGTTGGCCAGCAGGCTGCGGGCGCGCTCCGAGTACGCGGCGTGGTCCTCGTCCGTGCGAATCTCCAGGTGGGCGATGTCCATGTGCCGAGACCAATCACATCGGGGGGCGAAGCGAGCCGAGCACGTGTTGAGAAAGACTTGCCAGAGCTTGTCCTTGTCCTCGGTACTCGCCTGCGCCGTGTCGGCATGTTCCTGGCAGAAGTCCAGCGCAATCCGCGAGAAGCTATCGTCGTTCGTCTTCGGGATGGCGTACTTGAGATTGTCCATCGGGTGGGAGCCGTAGAGCTTGCACAAGTTGGCGAACCATTCCAGGTTGTCGAAGGGCTTGTCCACAAGCTTGGCAACAAGGTCCGAGACGCATGGCTTGGCGTCCTCCTGAAGACGAGGAGCGTTGATAGCATTGGCGCTGGAAACCGAAGGAGTAGAGCGGGGCATCGTGACCTGATAAAGGTTGGGAAGTTGGGAGGTATACAGAGAGATATGCGGGTGAGAATCGTAGAACGACAATCGCTACCAAGTGTTGTGATGTGACTGGTCTGTGTGTGTGTAAGAGTGTTTGACTGGGACTTAGAGTAGGGTCTTGCTGTATACTGTGCGGGAGACGTAGTCGCAAGTAAAGAAGACAGGGTAATAGGATGGGGCGATGAGATAAGTGGAGTGATAAGATAAGTGACAACAATCAAGCAAGGAAAGTAGAGACAGGCACAAGGTCAAGAGAGACGAGCAAGGGGGTCGGATCTTGGGTGTTGGTGTCCTTGGTGAGGAGTGGTAGTTCCGTTCTGTTGTGTGGTTCGGAATCTGTGTTGGTCCTGAACTCCGGGAGGACTATGCCTTGATACCCTTAAGTTCGGCCTTGACACTCCTTCACGACACTTAAGTTCAGGATTTGTATTGTAGTGCTGTCTCACTACAGCAGGTACGTGCAGACGAAACACATTGTCCTTTGTCATGCCGCACCACTTCAGGCATTTGTTCCTGTGAACCTCTTGCAACACACGTCCGAATTAATGTCTTGCGCGCCGCCATCATACACCATCATCCATTCATTCCCCGCCAACGCCAACCACCATCAACGCTCTTCCCTGTTGACATTTTTTCTGTGTGAACCCGTTTTGATGTACACAGGTGCACAGGGAGGCGGTGCAGGCGCGCATGATGGACATTGCAGAGCGTCATCGTGACCTGATAAAGGTTGGGGAGAGCCAAGATGGGAGTATGATATGCGGGTGAGAATCGTAGAACGACAATCGCTACCAAGTGTTGTGATGTGACTGGTCTGTGTGTGTGTAAGAGTGTTTGACTGGGACTTAGAGTAGGGTCTTGCTGTATACTGTGCGGGAGACGTAGTCGCAAGTAAAGAAGGCAGGGTAATAGGATGGGGCGATGAGATAAGTGGAGTGATAAGATAAGTGACAACAATCAAGCAAGGAAAGTAGAGACAGGCACAAGGTCAAGAGAGACGAGCAAGGGGGTCGGATCTTGGGTGTTGGTGTCCTTGGTGAGGAGTGGTAGTTCCGTTCTGTTGTGTGGTTCGGAATCTGTGTTGGTCCTGAATTCCGGGAGGACTATGCCTTGACACTCCTTCACGACACTTAAGTTCAGGATTTGTATTGTAGTGCTGTCTCACTACACCGACACGTTACTGCCCGTGGTGGTCACTGTCACGTTACCCGCAACGGCCTTGACAAAGCCTGGGATGTCGCTGCAACCGCAGTCCTTGACATTCTGCAGCGTGCTTGGCTTCTCCTGCTTCACGCGCTGCACTGACTTGGGATCCGTGCAATCCAACGACAAGCCCTGCAGTTGTTGGGAGAGTGAGAGGGAAGAGGGACACGTGTGTGAGTGTGTGTGTGTGTGAGTGTGTGTGTGTGTGTGTCAAGATACTGTGGTCGCAAGCATGCAAGGAAGCGAGCTGATCTAACCTGTGCATTCGCCATGCCACAAACGACGACGATCGAGACGAGCAGCAGCGCAAGCCACACACTGGACATCGTGGTGGTGTGCTTCATCATCTTCGTTTTGGTTCTTTGTTTGTTTGTGCGTGTTTGTGCGCCATTCTTCCTTCTTCCAAAACCAAAACGCAAGACACCAACCAACCAACCAGCCAAGATGAAGCAGCACCAGTACCCACAGCAACAGTTCCAACAGCAGCAGCAGCCGCCGCAGTACCAGCAGTACCCACAGCAGCAGCATCATGTGACGGTGGTGCACACGCAGCCGCGACGTGCGAGCGTCAACTTTGTGGTGCAGTTGGCCGTGCTGGCGCCCATCTCCGTGGCCTTGCTGGTGGGCGCCTACTTTGCCAGCATGTACTGCCTGATCTGGGTCATCGGCATCACCTTCTACACCCACTTCCTGATCCGGTACACGTCCGCTGCAAGCGAGGCGCCCATGCTGCTCAAGACGTGGCTCGTGGTTGGCTACGCGGTGGTGGTGGCCGCCTGCGCCACGGCGATTGTGTCCCTGCAGAACTTCTTCCAGTGCGTCTCGGACGGCGACGTGGACCCCTCGGACAGCGAGTGCAAGCGCGCGCTGCGCTTCTTCTACGTCTCGTGTGGCCTGTACGGGCTCGTCTATGCCGTCGACTTTCTGCTTGCCCTCAGCCACCTCCTGAAGCGTCGCGCAGTCAACGCCGGCGGATACTCGCAAGTGTGACGTGCATTTGTGTGCGTGTGTGTTTGTTTGTTGAATGATGGTGGGTCGCGTTGTCCTGCCCTCCCGTCCTGTCTTCGCACTCCCCATTCGTCCACTTCTTCCATTGTCGTCTTTTGTTCGTCAGCCGTGTGCGACTTGCACTGACCATCGTTGCGGCGTTGCCCTTCCTGCTCCCTCTGCCTCGTGTTACCCCCTCTTGTGTCCAGCACTTTGGGTGCTGCGCTTCATTACAATTCCACTCATGAAGCATGCATGACAAGAGTGCATCTGCTTGTATTTGAGAGTCGTGCATGCAAGCAATCACGCACACACACATACAGCAGAGCGCGCACTTTGACAGTCGGTGCAGAGAGTGAGCAACACAGAATAACAAAGGCGCAATCCGTGCTGTGGGGGTGTCCAGCTGCGACAACGATGGCAGTCGTTATGGTCGCAGTTGGTTGACATATACATCACACACACACACACACACACACACACACACACACACACACACACACACACACACACACACACACACACACACACACACACACACACACACACACGCACACACACACCCTACACACACACACACACACACACACACACACACACACACACACACACACACACACACACACACACACACACACACACACACACACACCTCAATCCACCCCCCCCCACACACACACACACAATCACTTTCTCACTCACAACGCTCACTGGCTCTCGTCCTGATGGCACTGCACCATTCGGCAAGCATGGTCTCCCTCCCTGACCGCTCGTCCAGGCGGAAGACGAAGGTTCGCCCGGGAACGGCAACGTGCAGCTCCTGGCCGTCCTGCGCAAGCTCAGCGGACAACACGGTTGCAAGAGGAATGCGTCCACGCTCTGCGAGCTGAGGTCCTTTGCTGTACACCAGGTGGCCACCGTCAAGCGAGCACCAGCGAGGGCGAAAGGCGGTGTTCCACAGCCCTCGCTTCTGCAACCAGCCGGCAAAGGGTGCGCTGGCGTGTGCTGCGCGCTGTTGCTGTGACAGGCCAGGTTGGCTTGTGTTTCGTGCACCGTCGCCGCGAATGCGCTGCAGGTTGCGCTCTGCTCTTTGGGTGAACGGGTGACGTGGTCCGAGTGTGGCTGAGAAGACCTCCAGCGCCTGTTCCATGGACGTGCAAGCCTGCTCCTTGTTGCCACAGTCATCATGCACGAGGGCGATGTTGGCAAGTGCCATTGCGGTGTTTGGATGGGTTTCACCCAGCAAGGCCCCAAAGGCATCCTTCGCCTTCTCGTGGGACGCGATGGCTTTGGCGTACTCGCCCTTGTCAGCGTATGCGTTGCCCAAGACGTTGTAGGTGTCGGCTGTGCTCGGGTGCTTGTCGCCCAGCGTCGCCACTCTGATGGCGAGCGCCTTCTCAAAGCAGCCAATGGCCTTGTCATGCTCGCCTATTTCAGCGTACACGGTGCCAAGGTTGGTGTAGGTATCGGCCGTGCTTGGGTGCCTTTCACCCAGCGTTTCCGCCCTGATGGCGAGCGCCTTTTCACAGTAGCCAATCGCCCGCTTGTATTCGCCCTGGCTGCGGTACGCTACTCCGAGGTTGTTGTACGTGTCAGCTGCGCTGGGGTGCTTCTCCCCCAGCATCTCCACTGTGGCAGTGAGGGCCCTCTCGTAGCATGCAATCGCCTCGTCGTGCTTTCCCTTTTCCGCATACGCGATGGCGAGGTTATTGTAGGTGCTGGCGGTGCCTGGGTGCTTCTCGCCCAGCGTCTCAACCTTGATGGCGAGAGCCTTCTCGTAGAACTCAATTGCTCGGTCGTATTCGCGCTTGTTGGCGTAGGCGTTGCCGAGGTTGCCGTAGGTCTGTGCTGTGCTGGGGTGTTTGTGGCCGAGCGTCTGCGCTTTGATGGTGATGCTCTTCTCGAAGTGTTCAATCGCCTTGTCGCATTCGCCCCGCTTGGCAAAAGCGATGCCGATGTTGCCGTGCAGCGCAGCCACCTTGCCCTCATTCCTCGCCTCAGCATGGAGCGCCAATGCTGCCTCGTAGTATGCAATGGCCTGATCGTGGTCGCCAAAGTCATCAAGCACGAGGCCAACTCGGTTGCACAAGTGTGCAAACGCCTCTGTCTCATCCTCGCCGCGCGATCGCATCGCTTCGACGGCAGCCACAGCCTTTTGCAGGCACCACGCGCGCAGCTGGTCCTTCACGGCTTGGTTGACTGCGCTAAATCCGCCCGCCCACGACTCGATCGCCTCGAAGATCATGTCCTTGTCGCGCGGGTTGAAGGCCTCGGCGCGCTGTGCTTGCACGCGCACCAAGGTATCGGTCACGGCCTCCCAGTTGTCATGGATGGCGTCTTCAAGCGCCCGGGCTTCGCTCTTGGGCAGACGGATGTTGACCTCTGTGCCCTCGTTGATGATGCCGCAGAAGATCTCCCACAGGCACCACGCACGCGTCAGTGGCACGGGGTCACGCCACGGCATCAACACCAGCAGCACGCGTCCAATGTTGGCAATCGACTCCTTGAACGTCGTGCTCCACCTGTTGTGTGGTGGGGGGAGGAGGGGGGGGCGTGATGTGAGGGAGGTGGGAGAGGAGAGGGTGCGTGAAAGGGGGTGGATGTGTGTAGGAAACGGCGAGGTCGAGTTCAAAGCGCAAGCACACACACACACACACACACACACACACACACACACACACACACACACACACACACACACAAACGCACATACACGCACACACACACACACACACAAACACACCACTCTGGTGGAAGGCTGGCTGTGACGTTGGCGTTTTGGTTGTTCATGAAGAGGTCAAACCAGAAGAACACTGGCTGGCTGTCTTCCTTCCTTGCTCTTTGCTCCTCTGCAAACTCCAGCAGCACGTTGAGCACGTCTGCGATCTTGTACCGCCACGCGTGCGACACAAACACACTGGCCTTGCCCACATGTTCGTGTGGTGACTGCTTCAGCTGCTTGCGCAAGAGATCGACGTAGGCGCAGTTGTCCTGTCTTGTGCGTGGCACCACGAGTTGTTTGCAGGCATCCTCCGTCGTCATCTCGGTGTACGTGTCGGGGAACTCGCTCTCCAGGTCTGCGAGGAAGGTCTTGATCGCCTCCACAGACACGCCGTCTGTCAGGCGGTGTTGCTCACTGTCGACGTCAGCCATGCCTGTGCACTTGTGCAGGGGTGTGGGTGTCGTCTATGTTCTGCTGTGTATCTCTTGCGCGACGGCGATGGAACACTTGACGGCTTGAAGGCGTGGGAAGTGAGGTAGCACCAAGAAAGTGGCGAGGAAACAAAGGTGGTGGAGGTGAGCTCAAACACTCGCTCAAACAGACGTGATTGTAGAAAAGTGTTGAATATTTTCAGCGAGATTTCGAGGGGTGAAGGACAATGCTGAGACGCTCTTGTTTGGCTGGTGGTGGCTGTGTGCGTGCTTTGGGGAGGTTGTGGTTGCGGTTGGTCTTGGTGATCGTGGTGTTGATGGTGGTGGGTGGATTGACTTGCTGTGATGGCCAGTATTCCTCCCAGACCACGTGCCAGCCACAGCGCAACGTCCAACTGCTCATCTACAACAGGTGTGTGTGTGTGTGTGTGTGTGTGTGTGTGTGTGTGTGTGTGTGTGAAGCTAGGAACTGAGGAACCTGCCAGTTGCCAATTTGCTTGCCGACTTGCTTGCTGTGGTGACAGCACTCACGCGAGCACAGCCATCCTTGCCTTCTCATCGCTGACTCTTCTCTTGTTGTTGTAACATTTTCAAAGGGTACCGAAGGCGGGGTCGACGAGCGTGTTGCAGCGCGTCAACCTCACAAATGTTGCTCAAGGGGGTGCGTGCGTGCGTGTGTGTGTACGTGTATGTTTGGAAGCAGACTTGTGTCTGATGCTACTTTGCTTTGGTTACCCATCACAGTCTCTTGTATTTGCATGCTGATGCCGTTTCCCTGTGTGATCCGTTGTTTGCTTTTGCTTGCTTGCAGGCAACGTGTTTGAGATGCTTGCCATTCACAACACCGACAACTTCAAGCAGAGCGGCAACCGCGCCCGCGCATTGTCACCCGAGTGGCGAGAAAGGTGCGTGGTGGCACGATTGTGCATGCGTGGCGTGGGTGAGACAGATTGAGTGAGCGAGTGAGTGAGTGAGTGAGTGAGTGAGCGAGTGAGTGAGTGAGTGAGTGAGTGAGTGAAAGAATGACCCGCCTCTTCATTCTTTCACCTCCCTCCCCCCCCCCACACACACCTCATCACACCACACGGCAGCATGGTTGACTACATTATGTCGCACGCGGAGCACGCCACTGCGACGCGGCCGCTCTTCGTTCACGGCCACTTTCTCTTCTACGACTTTTACCGTCACGTGCAAGTGAGTGGTGGAGTGTGTATTGAGTGCACTTGTGTGTGTGTGTGTGTGTGTGTGTGTGTGTGTGTGTGTGTGTGTGTGTGTGTGTGTGTGTGTGTGTGTGTGTGTGTGTGTCTGTTTGTGCGTGCGTTTTTCGTGTGGCTGCCACTCGCTTCCCACTACACCCAGTCCACAAACCACCACACCCAGTCCACAAACCACCACACCCAGTTCATAACCTCACACTGACACGTCCCAGAAACAAGGGAAGATGCCGCCGACAACGGCTTACATGAACAGTACGTCAAGTGTGTGCGTGCATTCTCGTGTGATTGATCGTCGCACAAGCTCACACGCTTGTTCCCTATTCTCCCTTGCATGCCCTTGCTTACATGCGGATGGTACTTATCCTCTCTCTCTCTCACTCTCACACTCTCACACTCACACTCACTCCTTTCCTTGTTGCAGTTCTGCGCCACCCTGTGACAAAGCTCGTCAGCCACTTTCAGTACTTGCAAAGGTACTGTTGAGACAACACGCAGTGCTGCACATTGCACCGACGAGAAAAGCGTGCAGTGGACGTCATAGTTTTGAGGGCGTTTACCCCGCTCCCGTTGCTTCCCCGATGTGATGCTTGCCGCCACCCAACTCCCCCAAACTTACTCGCCTGCATGCATGCATTTGTCTGCAGTGCATTTCGCGGCTCGAAAAGAGCGCGGTCGGGGCTGTCATTTGACCCCGACGTCACCATTGATGCATGCGTGTCTGCCATCGCCTCCACCCCGCCATACAAGCCCACCTGGGAAGCCATCCCGTGCGTGCGTGTGTGTGTGTGTCTGTGTGTGCGTGTGTGTGTGTGTGTGCGTGTGTGTGTGTGTGTGTGTGTGTGTGTGTGTGTGTGTGTGTGTGTTCGTTTGTTTGTTCGTTTGCTCGTGTAGTTGTTCGCTTCCTTTCTCGCCCTCCCCCCTCTCTCTCCCTTGTCCCTCCATCTCATCCTCGCACACATTCCTTCCTTCCTCGCTCTTTTTATTTCATGCACAGGAACACAACACTGCCGTGTGATGGAACCTTTTTCATGCGCGCTGTGCAGGTGAGTGCGTAACCATTTTGAGTCTGCGTGCAATGATACCTGCGTCCTCCATATCCTTGCTTTTCTTACCTTGCCTCGCTCACGACACGGTGCAGTGGCGGTACTTTTGTGGCTACGCACGCGAGTGCTTACAGGCCGTAAGTACCCTTGTCGCATGCATGCATGAGAGCAGCAGCTTGCCAGCGTATCGCAATGTGGCCCAGTAAGCCTTCACCGCTTCCCTCTTAATGACACATCCAACAGGACATTGAGCCAGGGCTCACCATGGCGAAGGAGAACTTGCGAAAACACTTTGCGTTCGTCGGACTACTTGAGGAGACGCACCTCACATACAGGTGTGTGTGTGTGTGTGTGTGTGTGTGTGTGTGTTTGGTACTTCGCAAACGAGAGCAGCGAGAACAATACCCTCTTTTACTCACACTCCCCTTCTCCTCCTCCTCCTCACCACCACCACCACCACCACCACCACCACCACCACTCACCTCATTTCAGGGCGCTGGAGACGCTGTTTCCGACGTTTTTCGCGCGGGGTTCCGGCGGCATCTCTGCTCCAACTGACGAAGAGTTGGAACAGATTGCAAACAAGAACCCAGAGGTCCGTTGGCGCTGACCTGCGGTGGCCTGCGTTAGCCTGTGTTGCATCGTGCTGATGGCAATTGCCCTGTTTTGCAGCGATGTTTGTGCGCGAACGCTACTTCTAATACCCTCCCCCTCTCATTGTGTTAACCCACCATCTTCCTGTTGACGAGCAGAAGTACAAGACGACACGTGCGACGCGGCGGTACATTGCTGCGTGGGCGGAGCTGTCTGGCGATATGGACTTTTACCACTTTGCCGCCTCCCTCTTCTGGGACAAGATCACGTGCTTGATTGCGCGGTGAGTGGGATGGAGTGGGGGTGCAGAAGAGGGAGGGATGGAGAAACGGGTTGGAGAGGTGCTGGTACGACGCGCACGGTTGTGAGTGCTGTATGATGACTGTCCTCCCATTGTCACTGCCGCTGCCCCTCACACGGGTGCCCTGGCTCGTGCTTGCAGGCAATGGCGAGCGGGACACACCCTTAACGACTTGACCGTGCTGTCCGCGGATTGAGAAAGGAAAGAGTGGATATGACTTGCACATACTTAGGCGTAGAACCGAGTGGATTGTGTATGGGGTTTATTAGACACACTTGAACAGAACGATGGTGGAACGAAATGGGTCATCTGGATGAAAAGGGGGGCTGACAGTGCGTGGAGGGGGAAACAGGAAGAGAAAGGAAGCGATTGTTCGGGGATTGGCATCATGCATTCACACACACACACAAAGACACACACAAAGATACACACAAAGACACACACACACACACACACACACACACACACACACACACACACACACACACACACACACACACACACACACACACACAC